GCCGGCGCCGGCGCGGAGCTTGCTGGGAAGGACGAAGCGAGGGCGGCCTTGGAGGCGGGCGCGCCGGGAGGGCGGGGCAGGGAAAAGTCTACGCGTTCCTCCGTACGCAGGGGCTATCCGCAGATCCCGAAGTGCATAAGGGGCTGTAGTCCTCGGAGTCCAAAAGGAGCCCGTCATTCTGCACGAGTGCCCACGTCAACCTTGTTTCTATCTCGCAGAAGCTATGTTTCAACTCCCGAAACTTTTGCGCCTGGCTATTGTTTCCTGCAGGCCTCCATCAAACCTTCCTCCCTGGCCGTGAACAAATGTGACTCCGTCCAGGAACTCCGAGGACTCGGGAAGAGGGATAAGAGTCCTGAGCTGAGACTCAGGAGACCCACACTCCAGTCCCAATTTCATCACGGATTTGCTGTGTGGCTGGACGTTCTTTTCTCTCTCTGGGCCTCGATGTCCTTCTTCCGAAGGAGGCTTTTAATAACAGTAACAGTTCCTTGAACGCTTACTGTGTGCTTTCCCAGTATCTAATAGCTTGGTTCTCATAACCACTCATAGAAATAACTACTATCTGTTATCCCCATTTTACGGAAAAGGACAGTAAGAGAAAGGTTAGGTAACTTGTCCAAGGTCACATGGATAGTGAGTGGTTAAAACAGGGATTCAAAACGTAAGTCTGACACCAGCACCCAGGTAACTACTCGGCTACCCTGTCTTTTACCCAGAAGAAACACTACCACAGCAGGTTTCCCTGAGGCAGTCAAGGTAACTTGTGAAAGTAGGTCATATTTTCCCCTCTCCATTACCGTTTTGGCAGTCAGTTCCTCAGGAAGGTGCTGAGTCAGGCTTCAGGCATATTCATGAGCCTTTTCTCTACCCCATACTCTACAAAGTCTCACTGGGGTTAAAGTAGAAAAAACCCCACAATTCTCTACACGTGATATCACAATTCTGTATCCTCATTGTTTCTGGATAATTAAGTCAAACCCAACAATCCTTGTGCCTAGAATTTGAAGCCTAAGAGGTCTGGCTTTTGCCAAACCCAAAATTTTTTGAGGCCCAGTTCAAAGGTCACTTCAGAGCCTTCCCAGTGCTCTGCAATCCGTACTTGCTCCCTAGGTCTGCAGAGTTCTGTTACAGCATTAGCAGTGAGGTGTTGAAATTACTATTTGCTTATAAGTCAGTTAATTTTGCAAGAACTGTTGGCTAAATATTCTAGTCCCAGAGCCTCGCATCAGGCTGTGGGTAGAGAAGATTGTAAACTGTTGTACTAATTGAGTGTTGGTTTAGGGCTGTTAGGATGTTAAATATTTCCCCCAAAGGCTCAGTGAAAGACTTCAGAGCAGTGCATTTTGGATTTCAGATTTTCAGATTAGGGAAGCTCAACCGGTAAAGTTTGAGAAAATCCCAAATTCGAAACATTTCTGGTCCCAAGCATGTTGGATAAGAGATATTCAACTTGTAGTATAATGATGGAACTGAGGCTCAGAAAGATTTGGAATCTACGTGTCCTGAAACAAGGCCCTGATTATTTCTAGAAAAGCATTCTGGAAATCTCTTGAGGAGGCACCATATAAATCAGGCCTTGATACATTTTCATATAGAGGGTGTTCTAGGTGAGATAAAGAACATAAAAATGTATGCCTGGGGTGAAGGGTAGAGGATGTAGTGGAAGGGCCAACAATAGCCTAGAGGGGCCGGCTAGGTAATGAGAACAGGCAAGAATATTGGACAGAAACATGGGTTAACAAGTTACTTTCTCCTTTGCTATAAACAATGTATAGCAACAATATTAGCACCTGCCAGATTGAGAGAGGTGGTGATTGCAGTAAAATACAGCAGCTCTTGCACATTGTTACCAAGCAGAAACTCAGGCCGGGTAGGACCAGATAGTATTTTTCTTTTTTGTAGATAGGTTTTACTCGGCTGTTGGGGCTGGAGTGCAGTGATCATTTTAGCTCACTGCAGACTCGACCACCTGCACTCAAGTGATCCTCTTGCCCCAGCCTCCCAAGTAGCTAGGACTACAGGTATGTGCCACCACAGCCAGCTTTTAAATTTTTTTGTAGAGACAGGTCTCACTATGCTGCCCAGGCTGGTCTTGAGCTCCTGGCCTCAAGTGATCCTCCTGCCTTGGCCTCCCAAAGGGTTGGGATTACAGGCATGAGCCAAACAGCTTGGCCTCTTTTTAAAAATGGATACTTCATGAGAGTCTTTTTCCAGACAGACATTTCTTGATTTTTTAAAAAAATGTTGCCCGGGCGCGGTGGCTCAAGCCTGTAATCCCAGCACTTTGGGAGGCCGAGACGGGCAGATCACAAGGTCGGGAGATCGAGACCATCCTGGCTAACACGGTGAAACCCCGTCTCTACTAAAAATACAAAAAATTAGCCGGGCATGGTGGCGGGCACCTGTAGTCCCAGCTACTCGGGAGGCTGAGGCAGGAGAATGGCATGAACCCGGGCGGCGGAACTTGCAGTGAGCCGAGATCGCGCCACTGCACTCCAGCCTGGGCGACAGAGCGAGACTCTTGTCTCAAAAAAAAAAAAAAAAAAAAATGTTGGCAACTAATTCAAACTTAAACACTCTGCCAAGCAAAACCTTCCTGTGGGTTCAATAAGCTTTCTGGCTGCTTGTCTGTCATCTATGTTTTAGGAATTGATCTAAACTAAAAGGAGGAGTCTGTGAATTATTTGATCTTAAGAGGTTCAGGCCAGGCACGATGGCTCATGCCTGTAATCCCAGCACTTTGGCGGAGGCAGGAGGATCACCTGAGATCAGGAGTTCAAGACCAGCCTGGCCAACGTGGTGAAACCGTCTCTACTAAAAATACAAAAATTAGCTGGGTGTGGTGGTGGGCGCCTGTAATCCCAGCTACTTGGGAGGCTGAGGCAGGAGAATCGCTTGAACCCGGGAGGCAGAGGTTGCAGTGAACCGAGGTCACGCCATTGCACTCCAGCCTGGATGCCAAGAATAAAAACCTCCGTTTCAAAAAAAAAAAAAGGGTTCAAAGGGCTGTAGAGTAGTGCTGATGACAGTAAGTCAAAATCATTTAGAGAAACTCTAGAAAATGCAAACTGAACTACAGTGACAGCCACAGATCAGTGGTTGCTGGAGGTGGGGCAGAAAGGAGGGATTCTCAAGCAGGAAGCTTATGGCTTATGAAGATCATAGATATATTCACTATCTTGTGGTTGTTTTATGGGTGCATATGTGTTTCAATTTATCAAAGTGTACATACTTTAAATATGTACAATTTATTGTGTCAATTATATTTCAATAAAGCCGATGAAAAAAACTTTACAGCAGGTACAGGTTGGTACAACTCTTATTTCCACTGTTAAGCTACAAGTTTAAACACCTCCTTATTCTCTTCCCCCAAATCCAGTCTAGGGTCACTCCAAACCAAAGAAGACAATTTAGAACTTTGCAACAGGTTTTTATTTTTGCTTTATATCTATTACAGTGTTTGAAACCTAAAGAAATACATTTTCTCTTCAAATTTGGATGTGTATATAAATAACATTTGTCTGGACTCAGCACACTCAATGCCATGGTTTCTTGGCCTATGTATGCTCTGAAATCAAGCTGTGTCTGTCTACCCAGGGGCCCTGAGAACATGGAAAATAGAGTTTATAGTTATTAGAAAAATAAAAGCAAATGAATTTGCAAAGAAAAACCAGTGAGAAGGATTAGATTCATCTTCCAAGGGTCCATAGCTGGTAACTCAAGCCATTCTTGGGGGATATCCAGTCTCTTGAGTGGCTGGGACTCCATTACCCACTTTCCTTCTTTAACAGGTCAAAGGCAATTCCCACAAAAGCTGGCTAAAAAAGCCGACACCCAGCTTCAGAGTCTGAGTGTTCATGAAGATGTGGACTTTTTTTTTTTTTTTGAGATAGAGTCTCACCCTGTCACCCAGGCTGATGCAATCTTGGCTCACTGCAACCTCTGCCTCCTGGGTTCAACAGATTCTCCTGCCTCAGCCTCCCGCGTAGCTGGGATCACAGGTGCCCACCATCACACCTGGCTTTTTTTTTTTTTTTTTTTAAAGTAGGGACGGGGTTTCACTATGTTGGCCAGGCTGGTTTTGAACTCCTGACCTCAAGTGATCCACCTGCCTTGGCCTCCCAAAGTGCTAGGATTACAGGCATGAGCCACCGTGCCCAGCTGAAGATGTGGATTTTTTTTTTTTTTTTGAGACGGAGTCTCGCACTGTCACCCGAGCTGAAGTGCAGTTGCGTAATCTTGGCTCACTGCAACCTCCGCCTTCTGGGTTCAAGTGATTCTCCTGCCTCAGCCTCCCAAGTAGCTGGGATTATAGGCGTCTGCCACCACGCCCAGCTAATTTTTTGTATTTTTAGTAGAGACGAGGTTTCACTATGTTGCCAGGCTGGTCTCAAACTCCTGACCTTGTGATCCGCCCACCTCGGCCTCCCAAAGTGCTGGGATTACAGGCGTGTGCCATCGCGCCCGGCCAGATGTGGACTC